CTCACTTGGTAGCCCAGGCTGGCCTTGAACCCACAGAGATCCGCCTGCCTCTGCCTCCCGAGTGCTGGGATTAAAGGCGTGCGCCACCACCGCCCGGCTAAGGCTAATGCTTTGAACACTTAGTTCTCAGCTTGTGGCTCTATTTTGAGGCTGTGGAGCCTTTAGGAGGTGGAGGGAGGCTGGGAAAGGTGGGAATTTGAAGGTCATACTCACCCCTGGTCCTGACTTGCCTTTTCTGCTTCCCATCCCAGGAACAAGACTCAGTAACTCGCTGCTGCCATATGTGGAGCTACTCTGCCATGCCAGATGGACTGGAATTCCTCCAAAATTATGAGTGAAAAGAAACCTTCTGTTTCTTGCATTGTTTTGGTCAGGGATTTGGTTACAGAGATACAAAATTAATCAATAAGGAAAGTGGGTACCAAAGAAATTAGGCCCACTTTAATTCTGCAACCATGGAAAAAGATTGCCGTTATGGTCCTGGGTCCATGGGTGGAGCTATGCCTGGCATTCCCTGTGATCATAGGGTAGGCTGGAATGCCTTCAAACTGTGAGTCAGAGTAGACCTTTCCATTCAATTATTTCTGTCAGGTATTGGTCACAGTGATGCAAATGTAAGTAATGTGATATTGTCTAGACATTTTCTAAGTACTGTTTTTCTACAAGGATGTAAACTTTTTGAAGGCAGGTAGGATGGCTTGATCCTATATTCCTAGATATTAGCAAAATGCCTGGGACCTGGAAATTCTTTAAATGAATTGATGAATGAGTGAGTAATGGAGCCAACACTTGGGACAGGCTGGTCAGTCGATCTTATCTGAATGTGGAGTATAGAATGGCATACTGTGGTTAGCAGGACTCATGGGAAAGCATCTCAAAAAATAGACTCAACAATTGCAAGCCCCAAGGCAACAGATCTTTTCAATGTATTAATGGTAGAGATGTAAAGAGTTAGTAACTCAGAGCTTTACTCTTCTCTCACGTGTTTTGGAAGCATCATCACTCTGGTAGTGCAAATTTGTATGGGATTTTAATTTAGTAACTAGTGCTTAAAAATGTTCATGTATTCCTATGTAATAATATTTAATCTCTAATATTTAAAAAAAGTCTTATTTCCAATTGTGTGTATGCATTTGCATACATGTATATATACATTAATATTGATGTCCACAGAGAGCAGCGCATTAGATTTTCCTAGTGATGGAGTTGTAGGTGATTGTAAGTCACCTGATGTGGATGTTGGGACCAAACTTGTATCCTCTTTAAGAGTAGTACTTGCTCTTAACCATGGAGCTACCTCTTCAGTCCCAATATTGAGTCTCTAAGTTAATAGTTTATATCAATAACATATGATATGAAGGAATTTAATTTATTTTTTACTGTCCCACACTCAGTATTTACTAGTTTCATGACAGTAGGCAATATTTGACACACTGATCAATAATTGTTTTACTTAATGTGTAATGATGGGCATACAGTAGTAGTGTGAGAATTTTCTGCCCCTTGGAGGTTGGAAATGTGTAGAATACCTGCTGTACAAGTGTGGGGACCTGGGTATGGCCCCCCAGAACCCATGTAAAAGTCTATATAAAGCCTGTTTGTAATCCCACTGCTTGGGTTGTGATACATAGAAAGTATTCTTTTTCATGTTAATTCTATGAGAGATTTGTAGTTTTGAATAAAGTGGTGACATGAAAATCACAAAAGTAGAAACAACTGTCACTCAAATATTAATGTGACAGACACTTTTATGATTATTGGGAGAGGAAATCTACCTTTGCATCTCTTAGTTATGACACGTAAGTAACAGTATTCAAGAATCTTCAATCACTATTTATTGGTACAGTTTCAAATGATGCATCATTTAATAGACATGTTGGAAATGGAAGTTACCCTGCTTCACAACTTTGCAGTTTGCAATGCTCTTTCATGCACATTTAATCCTTTGATGCCAGCTGGTAATGAAATGTTTTCTAATTATTATGCATCATTGGCCAGGGCAAGCCTGAAGGCCAAAAGCAGTTAACAGGTATTAATTATAGCCATTTACTTTCCTCTGAACTTTAATTGACATTCCCACAGGTTAAAATGTTTAAATCACATACAAATTTGATTCCTTCAGCTTCTCTTATATTGATTCATCTTTAAGGAATACCATTGTTCTGTTGTTATATTTTTGTTACTCAATCTAGAGAGTGTTCTATTACAAGTGAGTTAATACAAATCACTAAGATTTCATTGTTTTCTAATGAATATAGAATAATTTATTCTAGAAATAGAATAAATCAACTTCAAAAATGGTTACCAAATTGGAAAACAGTTCCAATTTGGATAGACTATTTCAGTATAGTCTAATCACAAAAATATAGTGTAGTTGGCCAACGTCATACTGTTTTAGAGATTATAAAATACATGAATTGTTGTGAAATTAAAACTGAAAACCAAGAGGTATGTAGGACTTTGTGAAGGCATTTAGACAGATATTAGCATTTCTGATCTTACAGACTCCATTTATGCCATTAAGAATATTGGGTCTCTTTATCAGAGTTTTAAAATTCTTTTCCTACTAAGAAGTTGAATACATTATACTGTTTGTAGTTAATTTTTAAATAAACAGTAGTATAATGGCATGAAGTTGAGAAGCAGTATTTTATTGCAACTATTGAGATGAAAATTGACAAATACGATTATCTTATTTGAAACTAAATAAAGATGTCCAGTACAAATTTCTATTATATAATTATAAAACAAATAGCTATTTTTAGATTGTTAAAGGAACAAAAAAAGAACTCTATAGAAAAAAATGTCTTTAAAGATGTCATGATAAAAGGCGCAAAGCTACACAGAGAAACCCTGTCTTGGAAAACCAAAAAAAAAAAAAAAAAAAAAAGATGTCATGAAAACTTATATCCTAGCTTGACTCTATATTTAATTGAAAACATACACGGATTTTAATGTAGTATTCCCATTTCCTCACCTCTTAATGGAACATTGCATATTGCAAAATTAAAACTGAAAACAACCATGTAGGGGTTTGTGAAGGCATTTAGTGAGAAAAGACCAACCTTTCTTATCTTACAGATCTTTGTTAAACCTTGGCCTTTATCTCCACTTAACAGTTGGTTTGGCTGTATGACAAACATTGGGAACAGGATAAATAAGAAATGACAATGTATCAGCTCTAAGCATGAACATTAGTGAACTTGCTTGCTATTTCAGGCATTCCCAATCCTAAATACCCAACTCTAGTGAAATCACAGATCTATGAGCAATTGAACATGGTTTATAATTAAGATATCTATCTATGTATCTATGTATCTATCTGTCTATCTATCTATCTATCTATCTATCTATCTATCTATCTATCTATCTATCTATCCTCTTCCATCTGCCTGTCTGTCCATTTCTTTATGTTTTTACCTCTAAAGCTGAGAGTTATAGCTTGAAATCTTTATGAATTTAGATTCTCAACAGAGAAGCAAGAGAAACCATCTAACACTAGAGAATCAAGAGTAACTCCTGACCTAGCACTCTAGTGGACTGTAAACGAAAGAAGGAATGAAAGCAGAGATGGAGTTGTAATCTAAAAGAACACAAATATACACTGCAAAGGGGTCTTGATTCAAAGGATCAGAAGAAGAAGATTCACGATGTGTTCTTTTTTTCTGTTAGATTGTTTCATACAATATTATTTTGATCATGTTTTCCCCTCTCCCAACTCCTCCCCAATCCTCCCCACCTCCCTATACACCCAACTTGATGTTCTCCTTTCTCTTAGGCAGCTAGGCCCTGAACCTTCTTACTCTGAAGGTTCAAAACTTAGTCATGGGTTGGCTGGTTTGTTGCTGTGGCTTCAGAGTATTGTCCTAGTCTTTTCTTTTGACCAGGTTATAGCTTCTTGAGCATATGAACCACTCTTCATGCTTTAAAAACATTCCCCAAGGTAAATGTTAAACATGCAACTGAATAAATGATAAGTCATAGTAGATAGTTTATCGGTCTTATCAATTTATGTAATGCAACAATGACTGTTGGGGTTTGGAAAGCAAAGACTGTTTTGATTTCTAATTGATCAAATAATAGATTCACTATTGTTTCTCTGTGGTAGGTTGTGAGGACACAGAATGTCCCAAACCACATTCTTATTCTCATGTAATTCAGATTCTATCAGGAGAGAGACCAACAAAGGAAAATATTCAGAACTCCAAAGTTCATCAACTGCAACAATGCCTCTATTTTAATGCTACATTTAAAATGTGCCCTTGCAAAATTGCCTCAGACCTGTATGTATAAAGTATGGTGAACTCTTTTCACGTGTCTTCAGAGATCCCCCTTCTCCTGTCAAAAGCAAACTCTCCTGCCTTCCATGCTCAAACTGCATCTTTGTCTTTGCTTCAGCGGAAGGCTTTACAATTTCCAAAGGAGAGCAAGCAGTGAGTAGTGTTGAAATCAGTTGTATCATTCACAAGGAGCAAACAAACAAACAAACAAGCAAGCAAACAAGCAAACAACAAATACACCACATGCACATACCCCAGTGCAAAAAGAAAAAATAATTTGAGAACTCAATTCTCATGTCTCTCATTGTAAGCATTATATGAGCATTGTCAAAATTTACAAATGAAACAAACAAAAATAATTTTATGGATTTTGATTAGAATTAAAGAAGAAAAACTTTCAAGAGATTTTCTATATTGAGAAAGATTTTTCCCCATTTTCCTTACCCAGTTATTATTGAGTTTTGAGCATAAACAACTTTAGTAAAAATATTGAAAATAAATGATTAATCTACCTTTAATTTTTTATGAACTCTATAAGACTACCCAATTTGTAAAGCTATTTTGTAACACCAACATAAATTGTGCCTACAAAAAATGTGAAATGTCTTAGCTGGCTTGTTTATTAGATTATGCTAGGGAATCTTGCCAAGTGTGAGCATAGTAGTTTCCTCAGACAAAATAGAGGGAAGGTCTGTAGCAAGTATTTTTGTTATTCAAACTTCAAATTCATGTGGTCTCAAATAGTCAAGTAGCTGGAATTAGGTTAGAACTTTTATTCATGGAGTAAGTGTTAAAATGACTGAAAGTCTTGTAAAAACTCGGAGGAACACTAACAACCAAGTTGCTAGAAAACTTTTTCCTCTAGACTAGACCAATGTTCTCTTTCTTATTTAAATATTTTGCAACCTTGGTTTGGAAAGTTCAAAAAGAAAATCAGTTTTACAAAATTGAATTACTCACTAAAGTAAGTTGTCTTAAACAAATTTATCAATCACGTAGATCTTATTCATGCTGTAATTTTTCCTTGTGAAATTTCCATAGGGGATGAAAATGTTTACTGGACATAACTTAAAAAGCTAAAGAATTTTTATTAACTGATATTTAAAGGCTTAATTTAGGCCCCAAGGACAAAATTTGTGTACTTTATCTAGTAACTGTTCCCAGGGACATCATATTTAAAATTGTGTTGTATACTTTATATAAATTATTCCCCTAAACAAATAACAACTTCCTATATTATTTCACTAAGATTACCAATAGTATTCATAACATTAAACAGATGAACATTCTTTTAAGTTCTTAACCAACTGTATTAAAAAAAACTTTAAGAATCTTATTTGATGACTTTCTGGGTTTCTTTTTGTGAAATACCTCAGGCCTTCTTCTTTCTCTTAGCCTTTCTGCCCCTTCGGTCATCCTTACACAGATGATGATGGGTGGCAAGGCCTAACTTCTCCTTTTGGCTTCAGGCCTGAACATCCTCTGTGTCCCTGTTATCACTTTTTAGATGCCTCCGAGCCCTCCGACAATAAGCATGCACACAATTAAGATAAAATCTCTCCCCCTAACTTGGTCATCTTTCAAATTTCAGCGAATATCACCACAGTCTAACAACTATGTCAACCACAGGACAAGGAGTCTATCTTATTTTGCTCATTCCTTCACCTCTATTTTCAAACCATCACAATGGTGTTTGGCTTAATTTTCTAAGCATCACATAAATCAAACCATTTCTTTACCACATTAAGCTTAGTTCAAAGTACATCACCATCTCCTGGTGGGAGCATTCTAAGCAGATACTTGTACTCGTCTTTGATTGTGCATTTACAGACAATTTCATACACACACTCACACATGTTTGGAAAATGTGAATGAGACCTTGCCATTCATGTGATGAGATGGATTATTGCTTTATTAACAACTTATCTTGATACCTCTTTATTGTCCATCTATATAGACTTATACCATATATGCATGTATATAGATAGACTTTTTTTTTTACTAGACAATTTGGCTTCTCTAGAATTAATACTTTATGATTACTATTGTTTGGTTGACAGAGATTACACTGGGTTATTTTCTTTTAAATAACCAGGTACCAAATTTCCTTATATGTGAGTCTTTGGGCACATGTGTATTTATTTGTATTATATATATGCATACACACACATATCTCACTGTAAAATTCATGAAAATTGACTTATGGTGGTAAAGTTAAT